GATGTGGACACTGGATCGGATGTCGATGAAGGCGGCCGCGGGCAGCCCCTTGGTGAAGATGTCCGCGAATTGCGCACTTGTTGGAACATGCATAACTCTGACCTCACCTAAAAAAACCTTCTCTCTTGCAAAATGGATGTCAATCTCTATATGCTTAATTCTACTATGTTGAACAGGGTACATGACATGTATACATCAGAAATGTTGTCACAGTACATAATGATAGCTTGTTGTATAGGGCAATGAAGTTCACCAAGGAGCTGACAAAGCCAAACTGTTTCATCAACATCATGCGCAACCGAGCGGTACTCAGCTTCCGCGGAAGACCTAGAAACAATTAGTTGTCGTCTGGACGACCAAGAAATCAAATTATCACCCAAATATACATAGTAACCAGAAGTGGAACGTCGAGTATCCAAGCAACCTGCCCAATCCATATCAGAGTATGCTATGAGAGTAAGCGTTGATGAGAAGGACATGGTCGAGAGTGCCTTTCAGATAGCGAAGAATGCGTTTGACGTGGTTATAGTGCGGAAGGCGAGGATCTTGCATATAAAGACAAGCTTGTTGGACAGAGTAGGCTAGCTCAGGACGTGTGAGAGTCATGTATTGCAACGCTCCGGTAAGGCTGCTATAGAGGGTATCATCAGGAATACGTTCACCTGAAGAAGAAATCTTGGACCCAGTGTATGCAGCCATGCAGGAGTGCGCATGGGATGACAATGAAGAATGCCAGCCTTGGATAGATGTTATGAGCATACCGTCTTTGGTAGAGGAAAAGGCCTGAAGGGGAGCGTGAAATGGCGATTCCAAGAAAGTGATGAAGATGGCCAAGATCAGTCATGTAGAATTCAGTGCGTAGGGAAGAAATGACGTGCACGAGAAAAGAGGAAGAAGAAGCGGTGAGTATTATGGCATCTACGTAAAGAAGAAGGTAAGCAGTGTGAGCATCAGATTTGAAAATAAAGAGAGAGGAGCCAGACCGGGAAGGTAGAAAACCGATGGTGTGCAGAAAAGTTGCAAAGCGTTGGAACCAAGCACGCAGAACCATTTTTGAAATTCACAAACATTTTTAAATGCGTGATCATTTTTGGAATCAGCAAAATTTTTACAAATGAATAAACTATTTTGTAAGTCATGAACAGATCTATAATTTTCCGGATATTTTTCCATTCATGGACGTTTTTGGATGGCGAAATTTTGTTCAATTTAATTAACATTTTTTAATACACAAACTTTTTAAAAAATCTTGAATATTTTTTTATTTCCCGAACATTTGTTTTCAAAATGGCGAACATTTTATGAGTAAGCAGACGTTTTGTACAAAACCGTGAACAATTTTTCAATCCACAAACATTTTAGTTTGCGGAACTTTTTTGAAGTCCCAAATTATTTACAG